AACCCCTTAAATTTCCTGTTAGGCTTGATCACGCATTTGACTACGCCCATCAACTTTCCGCAACAACCCCTCCCCCCCCCCCCCCTCTATATCTATATGTATACATGGTAAATACACCCAAACATGCATAAGTAGCTTTATATGTTATCTGATGTTTAATAATATGAATTAAATTCATGATTGAGTTTTTAAAATATACTCTTCGAATCCTATTTATAAGACAAAGAGATAAGATATTTTTTAGTTTATTTATAAGGCACAAGAGAAGTTTTTTGTATTAATGTATAATTTTACTTTCATTTATTATTGTGTTGACTCTATTTACATAAAGTATAACATATATTAAATAGGGATAAATTTAAAAAATTATTGAATTTTAAATGAAAGTTAATGAATTTTAAAATTTTTTTTGATCTATGAAACATGTTGGAAGTGACTTATAAATAAGATCAGAAAAGTATATAATTTTAAATGCCCAGTCTTGTAACTTCAAATAATATAATTCTTTTAAAGATTTTACTTATTTTTTGTATGCATATTCCCCATTTGGTTTCTTTGTCCATGCTACATTCAATTGCTTTGCGTGTAACTATCCATTTCATTTATCTATTCATTCATTTATTTATTTATTTATGGTCGATGATTGGATGAAAGAGCAAATTTATTCTTGAGCTTATTTTTTAAGTACACTCAACATCTCCTGATTTTTTTAGTGGTCAAATTTTACTCGTAACCTTTATTTTGGTACACCTAAAAAAATGAGATAAGAAATAAAATTACATCTTTACCCTTTATTTATTTATTTATTTTAGTGGATGTAACTTATTTTCTCCACTCTGACATTAAATGTGTAAAATGTTTGAATACCATTAGTGAAAAAAATTACTCATAGAGAACTGCTCCTAAATCCTAATAAGACCCATATTTTCAACATGAGAATGTGATATGAGATTTTATATAACTGGATAAAAAATAAATCTTATTTCCAATATGAAATGTCGACCAAATGTTCATCAAATAATATTAGGGTGAAAACAGTGAAAATAGATTAATTAAGCCTGATACGCTCCTCTTCATTATAATCTATTATTTAAGAGAAAAAAATTTTTGTTTATTTTGTTTGATTTTTATAATTTTTGAAAGAGTCTGATTTGTATTTCCTTGCTCTATTTTAAAGGTATCTCGCGCTTTTTATATATATATATATATATAGAAACTCTCTTTCAATTAAAAAAAAACTGTGTATATAATTGTGTGCTGATTCTGATTTGTTCTTCGTGAAGCTTCATAACGAGACAAATATTGAAAAAGAATGGTAGGTGCCACCTATTCCTTTATTTTTCACAAATATTGAAAGGTGGCCTACTAAACATATTAAAAATAATTAACAAATGAAAAAAGAAAAAGTAGGCCGCCTATATACGAATGATTGAATATGCATACATTATAGGATTCTTTCTAGTAGGTCCCATTATTTTAATAAAGTGGGATTTGATTAAGAAAATATGTATATTAAATTCATGCTTTTTTTTCCGGTTTAAATTCTAATTGGGATAGAGAGATAGAATCCCCAATTTGCTTCAAAGTTCACCAAGAATTACGAAAAATATCACGGCTCAAAGCGTTTAAAACAATATTTACAATTATTTTTTATGGTGGTAAAATCATAGTATCATTAAACCACTTTAAGCTTTGTCATATCAAAAATGTTAAGATTAAAAACCCTTCCAATAATATCAAGTCCTTTCGAAATACGAAAATTCCCGAAATTTGAATCTGTATTTTTTCTCCTTACAAATATAAAATTGCTTACCATCTCAACTAATAACTTGTCGATAATATTTACAATTATTTATGCGTTGAAGTTGCATGAAAGTTTTATTTATATGTATCAATATTTTCTCCTCCGGTCATCTTCTCGCCCAAAATACTTCCGCTTGCCTCTATGTAATTCAGCTTCTTTCCATTTATTTCGTTTTAAGAAAATTTACACTTTAAATTAGGTGGCTAAAACTATTCCTGTTGCAATTACATCCTCGATTTTTAGATTAATTTATGAGGAAATTATATATATATATTTAAAATCTACATGAACCTTATTCAAAATTATACCTAGCATTATCCTTAAATCGTGATAAATTTAGTGCCTGCCACCAGTTTTTCCAAAACAAATGTGTATTTATGTTGGGAGAGGTATATCCACGTCTAGTGATAGTGCCTTAATTAGGATTGTCTTTAATAAGAAAATACCTACCTATGCATATTTTTAAAAAAAAAGAATTCATTGGACCAAAAAAAAATCTCCAAGAATTCAAACTGATTCTAAATAGCACGAATAAAAAAAAAATGAATCTCACCATACCATTGAGAACTTTTGGAATTAATCTTGGAGTACCTTTTGTTATTAATTTTTTATATTGAAAATAATAAGTAGTAGTAATAATAAAATTGTACAAGCAAAGGTAATGCGAGTGGAGCCAATAATACACACACACACACTACTGGTCTAGAGTCAAGATCATTCTTGATTATTCCCCTTGATTATGAATATTTTTAGTGTAAAAGGGTTTGAAATTTAATTTATTGATTATTAAATTAATTTGATTCGACACTTCTATCATTGCAATCTGGAAAAACAAATCCATTTACCCACTTGATTCCTCCACCCAGTTCACTAATTACCGGTAATTAATTCTCCTATTAAATAACTATTTATTAAATTTAAATACACAGTAACTTTTTTTGTGGCCAAAATAAATAGTAACTATGAAACATCTTTTCCTGCAATAATAAAATCACGTGAAATAAATAGGGTGGACTGTAGAGCTATTATTAATAGCGTTCACAAAATTCAACTCCTCATTTAAAATCAATAAAAAACAATAAAAAACAATTTTTGCCAACAAATCAATACCATTTTGTTGGCCAAAAAAAAAATCAATAGCGTTTCCGGTTGGCCCCAAAAAAAAAGGTCAATAATATTGCTTTCAATCAATTTAGCCCCAAACATGAATATTTTTTTAACTAAATTTATAAATTAAATGCATCAAACCTATAACTAAAAAATTGATATTTTCTTAGAATTGGTATTTAAATTTTTTGTTCTATATTTTCAAAAGGTGAAATTCTAAATGAGAATTTTTTTGGTAGGCCGGAAGGTATATTAGAATAAAATTTACTTATATAAGAATTTTTTTTGTCAAAACATAATTCCAAAGTTTTGTCAGGAATTATTCCAGTGTGCACTAAATATTAATTTTATATAACGCTATGCATCATGGCAACCTGATGATGGATTTAATATAATTACCTATAGTCCCATTCTTACCCCAACAATCATTCAATATAATTAATTATCTTAAGTAATTAACACTAATTATAATATTAATCTTAATACTGATATATTAATAGGAATAGTAATAACGACGACAACTCAACAACAACCGCAACTAAATTCTTACTCTTTATTGCCTCTCTTTATTTATAACATTTTAAACTCCTTATATATATATATATATATATATATATAATCCTTAAAAAAGTGCTCTATATTTAAATAAAAATACATGAACTCACTGCTCGCAAGCTTAAGATCATATGTACAAACCACATAAAATCCAACATATCATATTTATTAAAGCATATATACATCTAAATCTAATGGACAATTATGTTTTCGTTAAACTTAAAATGATATTGTGTAAGGCTTCGTAAGGGGAAAAAAAATACAAAAATAACTCAGTAAATCTGTTTAGTACGACGTAACGAGTGTTAGCAATCTTGAAAAGTGTTCTCAAAGTATTTTTCCGTAAAACAAGGCAAAAACTCCTCTATGATTTTTTCGTAAAAACCATTAAAAACACTTTTAAAACCATAGTTTGGTTTCATCCAAACACCCCCGTAAATTCACTTTTCATAATCTATTAAAAAGACACTTATATTAACAATCTAATGAGCCAAATTTAGTAGAACAAGGTAATCTCTGCTTCTTTGCAAGGTTGTGAACTAAAATTTGAATAATAACGTTGTTCATAGTAATGCTTAATCATGCATCAGCTTTGGACAAAATCTCCTCAATAAATATTTACGACGTGAAATTAGGAAAGATTTAGAAGGAATGTTAGCTGCAAGGCTTATCTAATAAGGATCAACCAACAAGCCAATGTTCAAACCCACACGCTTATCACTTGTCGTACAGGAAACTCCTCCTTTCTTCCGCCCTTTTGTCTCCCCTACCCTGTCTCTCTCACATATCTCAAAATATATATGCAATATATATATATATATATATATATATATGTATAGCTTCCCACGCTAATAAATCATTGCCCGTTCAAGTGCTGCTACTCTCCCGCACCAACAAGCTCACTAGCCATGGCTTCTGCCACAGAAAAGCCTGCCGACCTGAATACAGGTCTGAGCCGCCACCGCCTCCTCCTCCGGTCACCATCATCGACTACTTTCAGGTGGACGTAGCTCTGAGGTTTCTTCTGTTTGCGTCGTCTTTGGTGGCGATTGTGGTTATGGTCACCAGCAAGCAAACAGAGCTTATGCCTTCTCTACCAGGAGGCCCTCCTGGTACTGTGCCTAGGCCTGCTAAGTTCAAATACTCTTCTGCCTACATGTGAGCAAGCTCCTCCTCCTCCTCCTCCTTCTTCTTCATCATCTCTTTCACTTATTTACGTCTCTCTCTCTGTGTATGTATCAGATGTCTCTCAGTTGTGAAAAAAGGTTAATCATACAAATATATGCGTCTGATTCTTTTTGGGTTAATTTTTAAGCTTACCAACTCCTTAACATCGAACCTTTCATATAAAATCCAGTAACTTCTATATACTGAAAAACTTCTGTGGTAAGGTGGAAAGTATTAATGAGGAGGAATTTAGTTTTCTTGGGATATGACCTAGTTTCGTTTGCAGAGATCTGAAGTTGATTGGTGGGGGACTATCTCTTAAAACTTGGGATTCAAGAAGCATGCCAATCTTAATTTTCATTTGTCTGAAACTATAGTTAAGATCCAAGACAAAGTTGATGAGGCTTTGTCTCCCCCCCCCCCTCTTTTTCTGTCAACCTTTCTTTTCCCCCTCAATAGTAGTAAATGACAAAAACAGTGGTAGATTCGCATGTTTCAGCAACCAGAAGGGGTATCTATATAGGACTTGTGAAGAATCCAAAGACAGCTTTTTAGAATAGATTGCTTCCTCTTCGTCTTTGGCCAACAGATTGCGTCCTCTTCTAAATTAAAGGATTTTGTTTTTGTTTTAGTTTAGCATATTATTATAACATTTTAACTGAGAGAACTACTAGGCTAGAAAAGAATATATATGGTGTTTTTTTATCCCCTCATAGAAGATGCTTCTGGTTTTAAAAATAAAAAACCACCTACCTCTGTGCTTCCTAGCTATGAATCGAATATCATTATTCATTAATTTTGTCTTATCTTTTTTACCTGTATTCTACTGAAACATACGACAAATATATCATATTTCTTTTAGAATACGCCAAAACTCTTGGCTCACCAATTTTATTCAAAAATTTAAACGTCAAAATCTTCCCATACGTACATTTCATTATATTTTAATTTCTTTCAAAGATTGAAAATTCTCAAACTGAGATTAGATACGATGATGATGCATGATGATGCAGATATTTCGTGACGCGCGTCTCTGTTGCTGGGCTTTATAGCATCCTCACCGCTCTTGCATCAATCTCAGTCATGCCCAGACCTGATCTCAAACTCAAGTTCCTCCTCCACTTCATATTCTGGGACGCGGTTAAGTTCACCAACCAATCAAACATTCGGTTTTTTCTTTCTTCAGCATTTTCTTTAATTTGTATCCATATAAAAGAACCTGTGATTGAATTTCTTTCTGGACAAAAAAAATAAAAAAGTGAAGAACCCTTAGCCAAGAAGAAGGTAGCTGTTTGGATCTGGATCTGTCAAATAGTGTGTTTGGGTTTTATAAAACAAAACTCATCTCATATATTTAACTCAAGTGTAATGCAAAATCACTATTCTTGATTAGTTGTTGCTATGATAATTGAATTGGAACCATATGATAAAACTATGATATGGCATTGCAGCTGATACTGGGGATAGTAGCCTCAGCCAGCAGCACAGGCCAGCAGGGGAGTGGCATATGTGGCTCTAAAGGGAAAACGACCATGTGAATTGGAATGAAGTGTGCAATGTGTATGACAAATACTGCAGACATCTTGCTGGCTCCTTGGCCGTCGCTTTGTTCGGCAGTGTCATCGCCGTCTTCCTTGTCTGGCTTTCAGCCTCCTCACTTCACAGCCGAATTCCCAGTAGATCATGATCATGATAATGCATCAGACTCAGTTATATGTGTGTGTGTTGTGTGTTAGGGTGCCTCCTCTTGGATTCACCAAGTCATTCAGTGTGTATCATAATAATAAGTTTCCAAACACTTGTTCCCTCCCGGGTGTTCATTATTTGTGTAAATGATAGTTATCTATTCTCCTGTACCACTTTTGTAATTTGCATTCTATTTTGTGTTATAAATGATCTGTAATTATTCTATCTGTATCAGAAACAGACTTTGTCATTCATATTTTCCACATACTTGCTATGTGGCTGACTTTAATTAGTATAATAAGACCTATTATAGGAGGTGTTTAGCAACCTTCAAAAGTGCTTCTCAGAAGCACTTTCCGCAAAACAAGACAAACTCCTCCACATATTTACTTCGTAAACCGTAAAAACACTTTTGAAACCATGGTTTGGTTTTTATCCAAACACCTCAATATCGATATAAGTGTGAAGGTCCTCTTCCTAAATGCTGTGTTTTTCACAGCATTAGCAGAGAGAAGAATAGTGAGTGAGTCGTGGTTGTTCGTAGAGTTTTTAAGGTTTTGGCCTTGTTGAGTTGCTACTAATTCAAAAGAAATATCAGAATGACAGTCACAGGCAATTGCTTCCTAAGTTCTTTCCGAATCTGAACATATTTACATGGATAATTTTATTGCTTGCGAGTTCAGTGTCCCTGATCTTACAAATAGTGTCCAAGCAGAACAACAACCAACAATTCTGCAACTAGATAGATTGATACTATGGTGATACTTATAGTATACATGCATTAGAAGTCTGATCCTAAGCATAAATATATGACAGAACAAACATATTGCTCTGTTGTGATAAACACTATACATCTATTAGCATCACAAGGATTATGGAAATAAGCATCCCTAGTCGTGTCCGTGGGTGATCTGGGTGGACCAAGGAGTTGTGTGGTGATCTTCCCCGGATATCTGAACACGTAAAACCTCGTGAATTGCACCTCGGCGAAGCAATGCCAGAAGGCGTCCATCATCAATCACCAAATCAGCTAACGAAACCCATTGGGAATGGGATTCATCCCTCATCCGGAAGCCATAGAACCATCTGCCAAGCTTCCACCACTTGATGCACACATGCCGCTCAGCAATCTCACTCGCCTGAAGGGCTTCTTTGAGTTTATCACCCTGCCACGAGAGGTGATTGTATACCAAAAAAGTGAACAATAACATCATTAAAGATTTACATTTAGATTCTTCATCCGGTTCTTTAACAAGGTTAGGGCAACACTATGCTTCTCTACGCACGTTTTTTGCAGTAGTAGTAGTTGATTGATATCTGTCAATGAAGAATGGAAAAATCAATTTATATACGGATAAGACTAAGGTTAAGTTTATTTGGTGTTTTCTATATATAAGGTGCCCAACATGTGGGAGAATTTTATTGAGAGATGCGCTGAATTATTAAAAATAAAAAATAAAAAATCCAGTCACGTCTTCATCACAGAACCTGATAACAAATTCCCAAAAAAATTACTTCAGTTTTGTCCTTTGTATCTATACCATGAAAAGCATCTATATAATTTAATCTTGGCTACCTGGTTCATGGCCCCATATTTAAGGGCACATATTTATAAGGGACGCATCATTATAATTAAACATTGGATGCACAGCAGTACCTAGTGACAATTTTAAGAAGGGCAAAAGAGAGAAAAAGAACTGGAAATATATAATATTGATTGGGATTCCACTTTATCCTCCTTCACTTTTTCTGAAGAAACATTCAGGTATAAGGCCATAAAGAAGAGGAATGAATTTCAAACAAAAGAGATAAGCAGATAAAAGAGAAATAATATCTACAGGAGATCTCCTAAGTTGATCTTCTTTTGGAAGTTCTTCATGATGAAAACTTGTAAACAAAGACAAAGGGCATAGTGAGTTAGATGAAGTTGGATAACCAGTTATCTTGCTCCCTAGTAAATGAAAAGTTGGAAGTAAGCTTGCACGTCTTTGCCATAATTGATTTAAGCATTAACAAAATATCATAGTGCTTCATAAAAGTTACCAAAGGATATTCAATTTAATTGAGATAAGATTTCAAATAGCCATGAACAAGAAACAAATGAAGAATGAAAAGGCACAAGTTCATTTATTAAATTAAAATTGGTCCTCAATAGTATAATGAGAATAAATATTAGATAGGGTATTTTGATTATGAAATTAACAAACATCATTACGATACAAGACCCACGAAACAAACCCTCAACCCGTCCCCAATTAATACTTACTCAGGTAAAACATACGTTGCTTCACTATCATATATACAAGCATAAGCCGTGTGGTACTATCACAGCAAGAATAACCAAGCAGCGACTAGAAAGAATGAATGTACTACCAGGATCAACAAGAAACAGTAAAGATATTTTCGTTCATGCTAGGCTGCTCTTATGTTTGCATCTATCAAAGTATCAATGATAACATATGCAACTACAGGATAATACAGAGGCAACAATTCAAGTATATTCATAGTATCATGTGCTAACCGTTCAAGTCCTAGCTGTCTAGAAGCAATTTTACGTAACTATCTTTTTGTTTTTTTAATACTCCATGCTGTATTACTCTGTATAGCTACATAAAGTGACCACAAAAAGTTAGTTTAAGATGTCAAATCTGCAGAAAATATTTACGTTTAAGGCTAATTAAAAAAAAAGTTGATAAAACAAAAGGTATTAGGTTTCAAGACATGCTCTTTCAGCCTAGAGGAAATCATATTAAAGGAATAAACTATGGTAGATCAACAATTGTGCCCAGAGTTTTCAGGAAAAACAACTTCATCCTGGATACTACTTACACACCGTGAATCATGATAAATGCTAGTTGGCAGAAAGTGAGACATTAATTATGATGAAAACAAGAACAAGAAAGAAGTTTGATTAGCTGAACTGCGTGTAAAATAATCACTGTAGTGGTGGACATTATGGGAATACCGGAATTCTAAGCCAAGTGAGGCAATAGTGTAGGCCAACCAAGTTAATCAACACGTTCAGTTTAGTTCTGAAAAGGCACATCTGGACATCTTTGAAGCTAAGCTTCATATCATCCAAGCAGTTAATTGCTTTCAGATAGTCCCCAACCTCTAGTGATTTAGAGGGTGAGCTCTCTTCCACAAACTTGGCAGCAGCTGCTGCTCTAACTGCCACCTCATTGTGCTTCACGATGTACAGTTTCCTCCATTCCTGTAACCCAATTTCCAAGTAAATAAATAATAAAATAGGCCCAATATCAAATATGCCAAGAGTCACAGGAAAAAAAAAAATGAGTACATTAAAGATTTATACCCTCGATAATTAATCCCATTGAGCTTGAGTCTGTGTAATTAATTCGTGAATGAATTTATCTGTGAAAATAACAAGCTCCATGGACTAATAACTTTATGAAAGGTAAACTGGTCTAACAATTAGGGGGCAAGTTAGTAGCTTACTCCAGACAAAACGGTGCGAAGCATGTTAATTTCTTCCATACACGAGAACATGATTAAGACATTAACACAATGATAATTACTTACCTTCTAAGCTCAGCAGAAGCAGGGAAAAGGACCTTGGGTATAGTCTATAAGTCAATAGAAGTCATTAAAATGAAAATCGAATAATTTGAGGATGTTGAAGTCTTGATGATCAAATGTTACACACCGCCTCAATTCAGAAGCTAAAAGCAGATAACTGGATCACCCATTTAAAAAAAAAAAAAAAAAAAGTGGGGAAAGGAGAGAAATTGGGGATACCTTGAGATTGGGAGCATTGGGAGGAGTGGAAGAAGATGACAGAGAAGGCCATCTTTCTCTAGTTAAAGACTCCCAGATACAATCTGAGCCACAAAGTTCCCTCCAAAACCTTGAGCAACAGCCCAACGCGCACAAATCTCGTACCTTCTCGCACAAAACCAAGGAATCAAACAAATTGGAAAACAAATAAAAAAAAAAACAATAATCGGAAGTTATCTATGCTATGGTGCGTATAAAATCACACCGGAAGCATCGAAGCAATTTTGAGGGCAACATCTTCAGGTAGCGTGTTCTGGATAGCTTCCAGTTGCTTCATTTCTCTTCGGTCTTCGCGGAAGAACAACACATGAAGAACAGATTAGTAAGAAGCCAAGCTCGTGGTACCGAGCGTGTGGGAATTTTTTTTCCCCCTTAAACTTGACCAAAAACTATTTTTGGAGACAATGGGCTTCAACATGGGCTCATGGGCTTGGATGCTGGGTCTCGATCCAATATAATGGCCCAAATATAGAAAGAAGACACCTAAGCAAAATGGAAATAAACGAGACTGGCTCATGAACAGAGGATAATTTTTATTGTTACAAAAAAAAAAAATTAATGCAATTTTTTGTCCAGGAAAGAGTTACCAGAAATAGATATGTTATGTGATATAATCCATTTATTTGGATTGAATCGTATGGGCTCAAATAATGAATAATTGAAAATCTTTTATGTAATGATTTTTATGAATTTGAAATTTGAGATATCATGTTAAACAATATTGAACTATTTCTATTCCACTCAATTGTTGTTGAAAACTGAAACTGCTTATAAAATTTATAAATAATATGATCCTGTTATTAGTGGTGCTCATATGATTATTTTTATTCAAAAGGCAAAACACTCTTAAGTCAAAAATAAGAAAAAGGCTACTTGAGGTAAGATTAATTAAAATATATTCAAAAAAAATATTTCATAAATTTTTGAGTAAATATGATGGTGTTATAATTAATTAATTAAGGGGGATTGACAATATGAGCGCAAGAGTTTGACAAATAAGTCAAAAATGTTCAAAGTGACTATATATACATTGGCTGCTATATGTATATTCATAGCCAATTAATTAAGTTGGCCACCTACTCTGATGTTCCACCAACACGGCTTAACAACCTTAAACTTATCCATTTCCCAATTACTTTATGTCAAAGTAGCCATTAATTTCATTTTAATTAGTTGATATGCTACCCACGCTGCTTAATATTACCTCTAGTTCTAATTTTAAATGTGATCTTATAATTAGGACTGAAGATAATATAAGAACTAGTTTACTAATTTGAGTAGATTAAAAAAATTAATTAAATTAGTTATTTGTAATAAATAAGTATTGTCTTTTTTAAAATATCCTTACTAATCGAGCGTTATTTGATGAAATATTTAACTTATGCAACTACTGAAAGGGGTATCTTGAAAAAAAGAATAAATATGATGGACAAAGTGAATTGAGGTTTTATACTTAAAATCTAATTGAAAATCAAACTAACTCTTATATTAACGAACAAAGATAGTATAATGTAAACGGGACCCAAATTATATTATTTATTCATAAGATATAAATTAAAGTTATTACCGGATCAAGCAGAGCCTAACTAACACTGGATACCTTTTTTAAAACATTTTTAAATGTAAAGTTGTGAGTTTGAACTTTTAATTCTAAATACAAGTTTATTTTAAAATATAAATTATATTATAAATGAGTATTATATTTAAGACTAAAAGAGTATAACAGATTTCTTTATTTGGCAAAGAAAGTTCATATTATATGTTATGCAAGCCTTTCTCATTAAGGGAGATATAGGGTTGTATAACATAATACAAATGCACATCAAATTAAATATTATTCAAAAATTTTCACGCAATTAAAGAGTAATTGATTGATTGGGAGACAGCAGCAATGATATACATTAGATGTACCACATTATAACAAAAATATTTCTTTTCCTTTTTGCATTTTTCTTATCACGTGAACCAGAGATTACTTAAAACTAAATATTTTAAATATTAGATAAGCTAACATTATCTAATTATCTAATCTCATAAATTCATACACTAACATCATTCATTGTCCGCATGCATTAATATCAATAAATGTCATCTCATCCATCTTTTGTTTTTTTTTTTTGGCCAATATCATCTCATCTATCTTCCTCTTATAAGAGGCATTTAACAACTTTTTCACATATTAAAAAGTATTCATTTTTATTAAATATGTCCATATTTTCAGTTTTTTTATAAAATATTTTTCCTTTATCAATTTTATTAAATTGTTTTGGTCTTATCTTTCTCTACGTCTTTATGGTACTTAAAGGAAAAAAGTAACTGATGCTTCTAGAAATGATAAGCTCACTGATGCTTCTAGAAATGACAAGCTCTCTTATAAAATATGCACAGGAGCCTTTTTTTTTTTTTTTTTAAATAATCATGTGAAAAATCAGAAAAAATATTAATCCATTATGTTTAAAATATGAAAAATATAAAAATTACGGGGGTAGGATTTTTTTCTCTGTGGGCGGGGCATTTTTCTTTCGGTAAACTATTGGAGGTGTGTAATAATTGACTTCTCATAAATTCATTTTTGTTAAAAATTGTACTCATTCGGTTCTAAATATAAAATCTTTTTTGTAATATAATTTACACTACAAAAAAATTTTATACTTAGGACTGGAAGAATATCATTGATAAATGATAAATAATACAACTCATTTTAATATTATTTAAATTCTTGTTCTTTGAAAAAAAAAATGAAAAATGAAAAGAGAAGAAAAAAAAGAAATGAAAGGGACAAGAGGGAAGGTGAAGTATAAGGTGACCAACCTTAACAACCAATAATGTGTATGTCAGTTGATGAAGAAGCTGTCCTTATACTTCAATCCTCTCTTTGCCTTTCCTTAATTTTAAGCAACTTCCCCTTCATCCCCACTCCTTTTAATTTATTATTCCTCATCATTTCATATCATAAACACTAATTTTAATTATCTTTTAAACAAACCATTAAAAATGTTATCGACCTGTTGGATTTGAATTAACTTGTTTTAAGTGATCTGGTAACTCGCAATATAAATATGTGAAGAAAATTTTGTCTCATAAAACCTAAAAGTGTTTTTTCACAGGATTTTCAAGCACTTGCTAAACATGTTCAGTTATATGCACTCCAATTTGTTGGAAATTTGAGATGAAATGTACATACTATTTTACTCTCTTGTATCTTTAATATAAGAATTAATTGGGGAATTAGATTTAGCCCTGAATACAATATCTAAATTTACTTTGTTTTTCATATTCATTATTATCCCCTAAACTAATTTATATAAGTTTTAAAATGATATATAATATAATATTGTACAAAAATATTTTAAGGAGATCATGCCATATATTTTTGTTATCCTTCACCTAGTGGAAGGAACTCAAACACCAATCATACCCACAAAAATTCGACATGCAAATTTATCAAATAGCTTCGATAGATCATATCACATTTATTATAATTAAATAATATATTTAATCTTTTAATGTACCCAAACTAATAAAATGATTTTTATGTGAGTAGCATCATATAGACATATTATACCTTGTACTGATGTAGTATATGTTTTCTCTTTTATATAATGTTAGGAGTGAATCTAATCCCGGTGGACTGGATCAATTGATAGGAATCATCATAACGTAACCACGGGTCTCTAGTTCGAAGCATGAGAATATAGCACCGTAGGGGCCAGGGACGCCAATTTTAATGGCTTTTGTCAAGTCTCGAATCAGAATTAGTCAGGACTCGTTAGTTGAGTTTTCCGTGACATAAGGATTGGCCTAAGATACTGGCTGCATTACACAAAAATGTTAGAAGTGAATCTTTTACTTTATCGGCGTAAAAAATTGAGGAAAACCATGATTGCTTAAACGCCAAGTTTTCCCCCTTTATGTCCATTATTCAACAATGTCATACACACTTAATTTCATGCTTTTCACCATTTGGGCTATGCTTTTCTTCCTTTTTACTTTCACATAAAATACAAAAAAAAGAAGATCCATTTTGAGATAATTTGTCAATGAATACAAATCCAAAATTCAAGATACGTTGTGTTTAGGTTGGTATTGTAATTGTCTGTGTATACGTATGTGTATGCACATATATAATATGTTACAGTCAATCATAACAAAAAATTGTTTAAGTGGAAGCGACTAATTTTATTTCAGCAAAGTTTATATTGATTTGAGTTTAACAATAATTAAATTTGGATTAATTAATAGTATCATAAACATTAAATGTTAAAAAAATAAAATACATAAAGGAAAAAGTATAAAGATACTAACAAAAAGTATAAATATGCACATTTGTTATGTTAACTTTGGAATGGAGGAATATTCGCTTCATGATGTATGGTTTCAATAGATGCCTCACGCTGTTGCTAGTCATTTCGGTAGCAAGAGAAAAAGGTTGTATGTAATTATATACATCTGCATGTTATTATTTTCAAAACACGTGAAAAAAGATTTAAAAAGTTGGAAAATATTTTTATCAACATTTTTAATCTCTGTGTATATTAAAATTATTTTGGTTGGCAAAAAAAAACTATTTTCTCTTAATATGATTAAATATAATTCAATTGCTATTAATACTAGCATAGAATTATTGATTGATTTCATCAAATTAATTATATGATTATTATAATCATTATAAATTGATTTGGATTAATCTGTGATTATGCTTTTAAAGTACTGTTTAGTGGCATTTAATATTTTAAAATATTTTTATTTAATTTTATTTTTAAAATATTTCCTCAATAGCACTCAATAATTCAAAATTTTACGAGCAAAATTACACAAGAAATAGTTTAGGATATTTATTATTCTGAGAAAATATTTGATAAGTAAAACCACATTAAAAAATTATCTTAGGATGCTGATCACTATTGAAAATGCTTTTAAGATTAAAAGTGTATTAAAAATACTTAAGAGTACTGAGTATTACTAAGAAAATATTTTAAACAAATTGCACAATAAGCCAATTGATTTTGTATTTTTTTTCATTTTTATACTTTTATTGTATATAATCAGGCGTATATTAAAAAAAACTTGAATTAATATAACATTTTCAGGCAAACTGTTACATTGGGGTTGCAGCCAATGTCATATCTTTTTTCTTGGGGAAATGTCATCTTAAATATGAGGGAACCCAAAAAAAAAAAGGAAAAATTACACTCAGGTCCCACAGAACACAATTAATATCAAAAAGGTCCCACGAAATCACGAAATGATTCTGAAGTCCCCAGGGACCTGTATGTAATTAATTCTAATTGTAAAATTACCTACTTACCCCTGTTAATTTTATTGCAACAATTCGTTTACAATCTCAATAGTGGCTGTTAACAACCCGAGAAGACGTGATTGACAACCTCGGCAGTGCTCATGACAACTCATTCTGTGGAATGTCAGGGGCGTTGTTGAGGTTGTTAACCACTTCTTCTCGGGTTGTTAACAGCCACTGTTGATGTTGTAAATAGGTTCTAATTTTATTGCAGCAATTCGTTTACAATCTCAACAGTGGCTGTTAACAACCTGAGAAGACGTGATTGACAACCTCGGCAGTGCTCATGACAACTCACTCTGTGGAATACCAGGGGCGTTGTTGAGGTTGTTAACCACCTCTTCTCGGGTTGTTAACAGCCACTGTTGAGGTTGTAAATAGGTTCAAATTAACAGGGGTAACTACGTAATTTCACAATTAGAATTAATTACACACAGGTCTCCGGAGACTTCAGAATCATTTCGCGATTTTGAGGGACCTTTTTGATATTAATTGTGCTCTGTGGGACCTGAGTGTAATTTTTCCAAAAAAAAGCTTAGTTGATTAAAGTATTTATTTATTTATTATATCTAAAGCAAATTAATCCAACCAAAACACAGAAAAAACAAGCTTTGTAATAAACAAACAATTGCCATAGCAGGGGAAGCCAGTCATGCTGGCAAGGCTAGCCGAAGCCTTAGAGACATGGGGCCCATGTGTTGTACCTACTCAGCCAATCACATTTTGCCACGTTAAAACAAGAGCATGCAAAAAATGTTCGTGGTCGGCAAAATTTTCAGGCCACGTGGCTCTGATTGTGCTGTCCGATCAGGATTGGTTGGTATGGGTTAACCATGGAAGCTTCCTCACTACATACAAACTCACAGTACTGACTCTGAAACACACAGAAATATCACCTGGTGGGTCATCCAAAATCGTTCCGGTTAAAAAAAAAAATAAATCCAAAATCGTTGATATTTTCCTCCAATTTCAACTTAATTCAAATAAATTACAAAATAAAATAAATTTGTTAATTACTACATCATATTAAACTCAATCTTTCCGAAATATTCTTAAATAATATTAGATTATATATAAATTTATATGTTATATGATTGGATTGAAAAAATTGATAAATATAATAAATAAAATAGACTGTTATTTTATATTTAAAATCAAATATAATTTTTTAACTAGTTTTTATGCGAAGGATCATAGTAAGCATTTAATAAAGAAATTATATAAGAGCACAATATTTTTTTGCCAGCAATATAAGGGTACAATATTATGACTAGTCAAAAATTCTTTTTTTCTTCACTCCTTCACCTTTTTCCTTAATTTTGTGTAGTTTAAATTTACAAATTTTTAGTCCATTATATTATTTTATAATTTAATTATTTTTAACAAAGATATTATCTAAATAATTAATAATTAATTACAAAACATTTTAATATCTTATATAATGTATAAAAAATCATTTTCATTATTAAATAATATTAAAAATATCAATGAAAGTTAGTCTCTAAATTGTAAAGGCTATTATGTTGTTCAATCATGTAAGAAAAGTCTTCAATTTGAATAGATTATACTTTTTTTTATCCACTATAAGGAACAAATAATATAAATATATTAACATTGTTAAGACAATATATAATTAACTAAAATATGATAGGAAGAATTTTACATTTCTAACTTATGATATACTACATATTCTACCAACATGTTTTCTTTTTTATATAATTAAATTTTTAGCCCACAAGCAATTACTTTTTTCCAATCTTAAAATAATCTATTTAAACCGTTTTGCTAGAAATTCCAATATGATTATGGATTAAGGTTACGCAAGTGGCCTGATGACCTAATAAACCTGGTCTTTGTGAAACTAATTATTTAGTATTATTATTTTTTATAATTTTCATATAATATATTATTTTTAATCATCATCATCAATATTTTTATGATTTTAATTTTTGAAACCTCTTTTAAAATTTTAAATTAAGTTTTAAATTAATGTTATAAAAAATGAAAGCAAATTTTAAACATATAAAATTTTAAAATGATTGTTTTTACCATGATATTATTTTTATAAAAAATTATTTTGAACGATGTTAATAATTTTTTTATGTGTTAAATTATTTTTTTCCTCAATTTTAAAATATTCAAAAAAAACGTTTTGAGTCCAGCCAGCCAGAGCCCGACGAAAGCCACACTGGCTTAAATGGCACATCGGCAGCCTGTTATAGAGTGGTTGGCAAGAGAGAGATGCGCCCCCACGGAGTTTTTCTGTCTCAAAAACATTCTTTTCTTATGAACACATCTTTGAATCTGGCAAGTCCAAGCTCAAGAGTTCCAACTTGAACTGTTTCAACTTTGATTCCACAATCACAAAAACAACACTCGAACAACAAAAAGAACACCAGAAAGAAAAAAGCTTTTACTGTTTTTTCTGCTTTTCCTTTCTTTTCCTTTCCTCTGTATATATGTGGGGGGTGTCTGATAGAAGCTCATTTCTTTGACTGTACCCCATTTTGTGGGTGACTACAAATCATTGCTCTCTCACCTTTTGTCTGGTAAAGTTAGGGTCTCTTGTATTAGCGTATTCTCACATTCCATTTATTATAACCCCTTTTCTACTTTTCAAGATCGGTGAGGAAAATTATTATTAGGGTTCTTTCATTTATTTATTTTTTTTCTCCTTTTCCGAGGGCTGGATAATCTTCATGGGGTAAGATGTTTGGGTGGGAGGAAAATGAGGGAAAATGTGGGTGGAGCAAGTGTTGTGGGAATGCGATGAGGAGGAGAGTGTGAGTAAGTGTATTGAGTGAGATATGGGCTGTGTGTTCGGAAGAGAGGCGTCGGCGAAGTTTTCCGGAGAGACGGTGTTGGAGAGGGAGAAAGCGAGGGAGGAGAGGAAACAGGAAGTTGCAGCAGCGAAAGCAGAAGTGATTGAGGTTCAGAATGGTGGGAATCGGAAGGAAGGTGGAGAGGAGAAGAGTACACGTCCAAGAGGGGAAAGGCGGCGATCGTCGCGGCCAAATCCGAGGCTGAGCAATCCACCTAACCATTTACACGGCGAGCAATTGGCGGCAGGATGGCCGTCTTGGCTCTCCAAGGTTGCAGGGGAAGCCATCAACGGGTTGACGCCTAGGAGAGCTGACACTTTTGAAAAGCTTGATAAGGTATCACATCTTGGGGTAATCTTTGTTTTGTTTCCATTACAAGCTTGTGGAAGCGGAACACAGCTTTCTTTGGTTTGATTATGTTGTTTGCATTTTGAGAAAGTGTGATGTAAGGAGGAGTTGACTCTCGGGGTGTGATGCTTCTTTGTTTTTCTGTTGTTTTCCATTTCCTTAAATGGAGAGTGTTGATGTTTTCTTTCAACCGAGTTTAAGATTAATTTTATTGGTAATTTATGTTGCCATTCTCTATCGTCTGGTTTTTGAAATGCAAGCAACACGTAAAATTAGTAATACTGTTTTTTTGGCATGCTTGGATTGGAAATTTGTGCTTGCATGTAAGTTGAAAGCCTTCCAGTTTCATCAAACCCTCATAAATTTGTTTTTATTTCTACTTAATTTCCGATGTTATAAACTTTAAGGATTACTATCTTTTTTTAATGTTCAGATTGGCCAAGGCACATACAGTAATGTATACAAAGCCAGAGATAATTTAACTGGGAAAATTGTTGCCTTAAAAAAGGTTCGATTTGACAATTTGGAGCCAGAGAGTGTGAAATTCATGGCCCGAGAGATTCTCATATTACGTCGACTGGATCATCCCAATGTTGTCAAACTGGAAGGTTTAGTGACTTCTAGAATGTCATGTAGCTTGTATCTTGTTTTTCAATACATGGAGCATGATCTAGCCGGACTTGCCACAAGCCCATCAATTAAGTTCACCGAGCCTCAGGTATTGACATTTCAGGCCTTGGTTGGTTCAAATATAATTTTTTTAGATAAATTTTTTCTTGTGGCGAATTTATTTTAATTATCATATCCATATCTATTTTAGGTTAAGTGTTACATGAAGCAGCTGTTTTCTGGTCTGGAACACTGTCACAACCGTCATGTGTTGCATCGAGATATAAAGGGGTCAAACCTTCTTATTGACAATGAAGGGATTCTTAAAATTGCTGATTTTGGATTAGCTTCCTTCTTTGATCCTGATCACAAGCACCCTATGACAAGTAGGGTGGTGACTTTATGGTATCGACCTCCAGAACTTCTTCTCGGGGCCACTGATTATGGTGTGGGAGTGGACCTCTGGAGCGCAGGTTGCATTCTTGCAGAATTGTTGGCCGGAAAGCCAATTTTGCCTGGTAGAACAGAGGTAATCTTTGAATGACTGAATATACCATACCATAGAGTTTCTCTTGCCATCTTTGCGGGGAATAAAAATGTATTCACTTCAGTAGTCGATGGTGCAGGACTTTGTTGCCATTGGCTTCTCAATTTTCCGCAACTTCTTGTTTGTGAGGTTGGTGCTTTTGTTCTCTTATATAGTGTTATTCATGCTTTCTAGGTGGAGCAGCTACATAAGATATTTAAGCTATGTGGTTCTCCTTCTGAAGAGTATTGGAAAAAGTCAAAGTTGCCTCATGCTACCATTTTTAAGCCCCAACAATCATACAAGCGATGCATATCAGATGTATTCAAAGATTTTCCACCATCATCCTTGCCACTAATCGAGACCCTTCTTGCAATTGATCCAGCTGAACGTCAGACTGCCACTGCTGCCTTGCAAAGTGAAGTAAGATTTAAATTTTGGTTCCCAAGTGAACACGTCAAAATCACCTTGTTTTTGTTGTCTCTTTATGCTTGATTGCTCCCTTCTTGTCATCTAATGTCAGATGAACTGGTAAAGTCAATCTCTTCCAAAAATACTAAAAAAGGGTTTATATCATACTACAAGAATATGACTGACAATTTCATTATATATATGAATAGAGACGATTTTAATATAGACAACCTTCTTTTCATTATCTCTTTGATCATGCTGTTCTGACTTTAGTGTGCCTATTTCTGTTAATCAAAAGGGAAAAAAAGAAAGAAAGAAAAACGTAGTGCTTTGTATCCATGTTCTTGGGTTATAAATATGAGAAGTGTACAAGTTTAATGGACAAATGTGTGGCCATCGAATTAAAATATAAACTTGTCTTGTTATTGGAAAATTGTGCATTTGTTATATTTTAATTGGAGATTTTGATAGCAAGTATTTAAATAATTGCATCTGAGTGTAATCATTAATCATTCTATTACTCAAGTGATTGAAGTTTCTGTCATGATTTCATAATAACCACCTGAAGATATGAAATTCTGTTTACAAGTGCACTTAGTTTCATTAAAAATACATGCATTCAACCCCCCCCCCCCCCCAAAAAAAAACCCCTAAAAAAAAAAGGAAAAAAAAGTGAACGTTACCCTGTGTTCAATTATATATTGAAAATGCATGTCCTTGGGCGCTTTTCTAAAATAAACCCTGGGTTATATGTTGTGGACCTCTGCTTGTGCTTACTCCTTACCATTGCTTTTCAGCACATGCAAGCAACTATTTAGCTTCTTCTTCTTCTTCTTTTAAACTCTATTCCTCTGCTACTACAGACGCTTCTATCCAAGTTCTGGATTGTCATGGTTTTTCTTGTTTTGTACTAAATCCTGTTATGCTAACTTGTTTAATTAAAAGTTGATAAGCTAAGTCAAAAAAGTCAAGGGATGTGTGAGCTACTTTCTTCTCTTTACTAGATTCAATTTCTTGCATCTTTGGGCATCGTTTACTTATAAGTGGCCATACTATTTTGAGGCAGAAGTCTGGTTGGTTGTTGCTAACTGAAAATGATGATAGTTATGCACTGGTCGTTTTATTTATGACGCTGCGCTGATTAATTGCACTTAAATTTCTCAAGAGTTTCAATAATTAGATGTGGGGATCCTAATTTGATATTGATTGTTTCTCTTTTGTAGTTCTTCACTACAAGACCTTATGCTTGTGAGCCATCTAGCCTTCCAAAATATCCTCCCAGCAAGGAGATGGATGCAAAGCTACGAGATGAAGAAGCTAGAAGGTGGAAGGCTTTGGTTACTTTTGAGTTCTGATTCATTTGAAAATTTGAACAATAATCTAAATATGCCTCTGGTTAAATTATAAAGGGCAGATCCTTCACTTATTTAAATGAGTGTTTCCACTATCTGAGGAATTTCTAATAATCTGCATAAAATTTGTTATGAAAATTTTCATACAGGACAAGACTCAGCTTGTGTTTTCATTATAACCCGCTAACTTCATTTCTAGCATATTGCCTTAGTCTTATTAGAATATGTAAATGTTTTCCTATTCGTTGGTACACTCATTTCTATTATATTTTTGCTGTTCCCATCTTTATTTGATGGAGCAAGTTAGATGGCATCTATGTGACACGAACATGCATGTATGTTGCTGTTCTTTTCCAAACGAACCTTTTCACGGACCCCTCGTTGATTTTATCAGCAGTAGAAGATTTTTTATTTGTTTTAAAAAACAAAACGAAAATGTACACATTGTGATATTTGACTTCATCGTTTGCCATCAATGTAGATTGAGAGCAGCGGGTAAAGCCAATGCTGATGGTGCTAAGAAATCTCGTCCTCGTGACCGGGGAGGGAGGGGAATTCCTGTTCCGGAAGCCAATGCTGAGCTTCAGGCAAATATTGATGTATGTCTATTAAGAAATCTCATTCGCTTCGAAAAACATCTCGTGCTTGTCACAATTAACTTGAAGTACATATATTTTAGTTTCATACTCATTTGTTCTTGGCCATCTTTAATACAGTGAAGTTGCGTATTGTTCACTTTATTTTTTTGTGGATATGTTGTTAGCTTGATCCAACAAGTTTACCTTCTTGCCATATACTGCAAGTTTGTTGATTTCATATTTGTTTTTTACCAAGCAAGAATTATTTGCTCCATGTCAATTTGGTTGCTAGCTATCTTAGTAGAGCACTTTCTACCTTTAGTCATACGTGTATCCGCACCAAACCCCTGGCAACCTTCAAGAAGTATTCTCATGGATCTGCTTTTAAAATGATAGAATTGTAAAATTGGTCATGAGAGCACATTTAACTTGTTCAAAATCATTGTTTGGAATGAATGTCTGGATATTGAGGTTTAGCTTTACATCTAATGGCTCTTATGATTTAACCTCCAATACAGAGACGGCGATTGATAACGCATGCAAATGCTAAGAGCAAGAGCGAGAAGTTTCCTCCGCCCCACCAAGACGGAACTCTAGGCTATACTCTGGGTTCTTCACATCACATGGATCCAGTATTTGATCCTCCTGATGTTTCATTTAGCTCTACAAACCTGTCATACCCAAAAGCCAATATTCAAACATGGTCTGGTCCATTAGTGGAACCTGCTGGCGGGATGGGTGCCCCAAGGAGAAAGAAGAACATGGCAGGTGAATCGAAGTCGTCGAAGAAGGACTCAAAAAGATAAGATTATGTCAGGAGCCAACAGAAAATTCTTGTAATATAGCATCGGTGATTTTTGAGGAGCCTGCATGAAAGTGGAAAGCGCAAATGCTTGCTGATTTGATGTGTGCAGCTGGTAAAAGCCATTAATATCATCATATCACAGAGAGATATAAGTTTGACATCGTAATTCCTACTTCGATTTCTTTCTTGATCAGAGGTTTAATCTTTATCCTGTCTATGTTAATCTTTCTTTCTTCCTTTCTTCTGTTGAAAAGTCTAATTAGATTAGAGGAACATCTAATAAACTGCGACCAGTATTCATATTTTATATTCGTCCCTAATTTTGTTACGTCTATAATATTCACCCATAGTTTTTCCCCTCTTCTTTCATTGCACTCTAGAAGCCTGTGAACCCTGCAGTAATCATAAATACTTGGTTGAACTTGGCTTTGGTTTGTTCATCATGGTAATCTCAGAACAATGAATAAGGAATGTGTAGGAGTGTCTTGTGCCTGTTTCATCCTATGTTACTTGCATTTGTCAGTCTTACATTCATTCCTTTATCATTGGATTGATATCATTGGCACATATATAAGCTTGATAAGTTATGTGCCGACGCCCAAAAGCTTTATTCAACTAACTCAAAAAACAGCCAACAAAATAAACTTAAAATTTGGGTCGTTTAAATTATGTGCTTTTAGTATTCTAATATGATTATAAAATTCTAATGTGTTAAATGAATATTTTGTATTGAATAATAAATATAATATTAGTTTATATTTGTTATTTATGCATCTCTATTTAGTTCTTCATGTTTTTGCTTGTTAGCTAATCCCTAAATCATATTCCTCAGTTTTTTCCCTTTAAAAAAGTGTTTCTGGTTCTAACTAAACTTTCCATTACGTGTTAATTTTATTGGAAAGTATATAATATTCTACGCTAAAATATATTTTTGTTCTTCACTTTATATTTCCTTTTACCTGTCTCTTAATTTTATTTTTTAATATGGCCCTTTAAAAATTTTTTAAAGCTTTTTTGTTTTTGTTTTTCTCAATATGATCGGATTAAAAGAATAATAAAATAGCATAGGGGAAAAAACGAATAAAATAAAAAGACTGAAATATAATTAAAAGTTGTGGGTTCAATAGAGGGGAAAAAAATAAAGAGCCTTCTGAAAACACAATACCCGGTCAATGTGTTGGGCCTCCCGAAGGCCCAATAACAAATGCTGCCGATCCAGTCTGCTGTTGACATTGCTGCATAAGTCGCTGTTCACTCTTTATCAAACGAAAAAACATTAAAAAAAAGTTGTAGTCCACTCCGCTAAAGGCACTACAGCGATGACGCTGGCATGAGACGAAAAAATATCAGTTGACGACCATGAATAATAGATGACATGTCTATGCCATGTGGAAGCTGACCCATCTGATGACTCGAACCATACGCTGATGTGGTGGATGACTGTGCAGGAATGTTGACGTGTATAGATGATGTGGAAAATGACTCATCATGTGACTGGGCGTCGACGGTGACGTGTCATAGTGATTCGGATCACAACTCAGCTATCGGTGATGTGTACAACAACTCAGCTATCTCGAACACGTGACAAGCAAGTTTCTACTGACTATGCTGATTTGGTGACGTGTCACAATGATGTGGTAGATGACCGCTGATTGGGCTTATTGGTGATGTGTCAAGGTGAGGTGGGCGATGACTCATCCTGTGACTGAACGCAGAGGAGACATGTCAAGTTGACGTGGGTGATGCGTCACCCGGTGAATCAGCAGATCAGGTGACATGGATTAGTGATGTGGCAGATGACTCAGTCGTTGACTAGGATGAATGGTGACGTGTTTTGCTGATGTGTCTGATGACTAAGATGGTGATTGGGCAGATTGTGTGACATGTCATGGCTACGTGTCAGTTGATGACTGGGCAATGTTGGTGATGTGTTGTGGTGACGTGGCAGATGACTATGCCGTTGGCAGGGCTCATTAGTGATGTGTCTTGGTGATGTGGATGATGACTTAGTCAGCGATTGGATATGTCGACAACGTGTCACGTTGATGTGGACAATGAGTCATCCTATGACTTTGCGGATGAGGTGACATGTTGTGTTGATGTGGCAGGTGATTTGACCGTTGATTAGGATGTGTTATGACGTGTCCCATTGATGTGGTTAATGACTCAGGCGGTGACTTTGCAGATAGCGAGACATGGTGAATTGGCTGAAATATGACATGCCATAGCTGCGTGATAGTTGAGTCATCTGATGACTGTTCATCTTCTATGACATGTTGCGGTGATTTGGCAGATGATTGTGGTGCTTACATGGCTCATCGGTGATGTGTCAAGGTGATGTGGATGATGACAATTATGATACGGTGATGTGTTGAGGTTTCATGGTCGAGATATGATGATGTGGCATTGGATGACATGTTCTTGTGATGTGGCAGATTAGTGAGCTGCATCCTTTGCGCATCGTTGACACCGCAAGATTTTAACAATTTGAGGTCATAATTATGGTTGACCCAAGACATAAGTTTAGAATGACCTGCTCTGATATATTTAGCTTTTTATTTTTTATTTTTATTTTATAATTTGGATATGTCAATTACTTAATGTGCATTTTTTAACAATTAATAATTTCAAATATCAATTTTCTTTACATTTTTATATATAAAATTAATTTTGGTGCTGTTTATTTTTCAAATAAAATTCACATTTTCAATAATTTAGAATTGATTCTTTTAGTTTTTTATTCTTTTATTTAATAATTCTTTTAAACAAGCCTCAACTTTTAAAGCAATAATAAGTCTGATATTTTTTTGGTAAAATTTGTTAGATTTTATTAAGATACAATCTTGTAGTATTTTGTGATGATACGAAGATATTATAATGGAAAAATCACAAATAAAGACTCCCGAATTATCAAAATTATGCAAAGGTCACTTGAATGAGTAAAATTACCATGAGAGACCCGGTCTTATATTGCAAATATGAAATCTTAATAAAATGTCTGAAATGCCCCTCAGTCAAATGATAAGTTGACTATAGAAAATAACAATTTCAATAGATCAAATCACAACTTGCTTGAAGGTATGCCAAATGACAAGTTGATTATGGGAAATAACAAATTTACTTTAACGAATAACAACTTCCGTAGACCAAATCACAACTTAGCCGAGGGGCATTTCAGATATTTCACCAAGATTTTATATTTGTAATATGGGACTAGATTTTTCATGGTAATTTTGCTTATTCAGATGACCTTTGCGTAATTTTGATAATTTAGGAGTCTTTATTTGTCATTTTTCTTACTATAATACATAACAATTAAAATAAGTAAAATTATAGGAAAATTTGCTAAAGATTTACGGCTCAACAATACCTGAAACTTGTTTTAAGGACCTAGATGCAACTTATTCTTAACGAGTTCAACCCAAAAATCTAAGCTCATGTTAAAAGGGCGATAAAAATTTTTTTAATTATTTTCCAATAGTAAATAAATAATACGGCTACTCAAGATTTAAACATTTTTTTATTTTTCCACATCTCGATAAGAACTTCAAAATTAAAAGCGTGCATATGAATTAATAATTTGTATTCAAGAATTTTTCCCTTCACGATAAACAGTCATTGATGGCCCTTTCTTCAAATGGATATTTGGAATCAACTCCGAGGTTCAAGTAGCAATATAAATATAAATATTTAAGATGCACTTCATTTAACTTTTTATTTGAGTGCGTTTTGAATAATAGTTACTTTTTTCTTGTAGGTCCCTAAAGAAGAAGATTTTTTTTTTTCAGTCCCTCGGTGGAAAAGGTGCCTTTAATGCGCCTTCATGAGTGCTTCATGTAGGTACTTTAATACCCGCTTCATCAAAGAATTTAGGTTTTTTTTTTTTTTTTGCATCAACAAGACAAGCTAAAGCTCGAACGAAAAAACTACTCAATACTAATGGAACTATCAGACAGTCCCTCCGCTTTATCCCTCTGCAACCTGGGGATGTTGGGTTCACATGGCACGACTAACTCGTCTTCATTATGGAAGAATTTAGTAATCTAATGACCACAGAAAAGCAACCTTCTTCCAAATCAGAAACTGATATTTACCAAGAGCGGGGGGAAAAAAAACTCAGCAGACAACAATGTATTGCAAGACGAGAGAAGATGAAGGACAACTTAAGAGTTCAATTATATACAGAAGGAAATGGAATATTACAAATTCTAAACGTAATTCTAATTCAAGGAAATTCTGTCAAATTCCAATCCAGAAGAACAAACGGACACAGCGCCTTCATTGCATTGCATTGCATCTCCTTCATTCACATTCAGTCTCCAATAATAACTCTCAATAACCTCAAGCATTTGTCCCCAGTGACCTTCATTTATATACCACACAGCCTCACAAGCAAAAAGGCACCAGAGAGAGAGAGAGAGCATCCTGACCTGGATAATGTCATCAACAGTGTCATCAAACAAGTCCGTACAAAGTACAAGGAACTCCATTTATAACATAGTTTGAACGTAGTTGAAGAATCAATAATTGTGTAACAGGTTGGTCATATAGCTTTGACCACCATTATATAAACAAATGTGGCAATGAAAGCCACCCACCCCCCGCATGTGCTGATGATGACTGACGCAGCGGTTTAGTAAATGATATTCAATTTTCATGGGATGTTAGACCTAATCAAAACTAATGCTCGCTACAACAACTATACGTGCAACCTACTCTTTTTCAGTGATCCATTACCAGCATATTAATTGGCTTTGATAACGATTTTTATCTCAAATTATTTCATAATGGGATACAACTGAATACCTGTTCAGAAACGTTCATTCACAAGCGATCTTGGTATCAAAGCTGCTGAGGCAGATTGCAAAAGCCTGGAAAGCCGAGATGGGGTACCGGTAATCCATCGTAAACAAATCCTTCCCAACTTTGCCAAACTGGAGTATAATCTTCTCATGTTCTGGTCCAGCAACCCCATTTTCTGGGGAAGCGACAAGCTGAAAGTTTTTCACTGAAGCTACTGTCACACGTCCATGAAAGTTTAAGCACCAACATTGGAGCTGTTCATGCCACCTTGGAGATTTGTTTTTCAACACTAGCAGCCCGTCTTTTTTGTCACCCAGGGGTCCAGATTCGGATTTTTCCATATGATTTGATTTTGATCGGAAAAATGGAAATGAAGGAAACACATCAATGCTGCTTAGAGAAAAGTCAGTCTGCGTTGGCGCTACCCCTCCTGGTTCAACTGCAGAGGCAGGAATGGAATCCATGACACAATTCATTCTCCTAGGCCCCCTGAGTGTGATATTATGTGGTAAGCATTGGAAACATGGGAATAAAATGCACAAGAAGCTAATTTTAGTGCTGTCAGTGTATGACAAGTCAAAATTTACCCCATACAGTTGCACTATGTAATTACCTGGAGCCCAACACATTTAATTCATATGAAATGTGGGCCACTGGATAGTTACCAGTGGGGACCCTGGGTGAAACTTGCTTCAGATTCACCAGCCTAGTGGAGCGACTTTTTGAAATTTTTGCACCTGCATGAGGTGGCTGGCCATCATATATTGTGAACTTCGTCCCCAGAAAATTTGATCTAATCAAAGGAGAAAGAACGAAGTATAAGCCTTTGCTTCTTTACAAACTAAAGGTGGTAACATAAAAGAAATCACAGTGACTAATTAAGAGCGTACCGCAGCTTCCCAATATAGGTGTAGCTTCCATTTGACATATCATCCACGTCCAGAGAGATAATATAATCGGTGCAGGTTGTACGCCTACACTTACGTGCAGCCAAAAGGAACTTTCCATCATCACCTAGAGCTGCAATTTGGAAAACAAAAGGTCAGAAGAACACGAACATGCTTCTTGATTGGAAACCTTCAGGTGTTGAAAAGGAAACCAGAGATGAACAAAAGATAGAACAATATCCAGGAAATCTACATAATATTTTTACAGACGTAAATCCAACGGTTCTTTTACCAGACAGAAAAGGAAGAGCCCATGTTTTGTACAAAATAATTGTATCCAGGGCCAGAGGATGTTCGGTGCTCACCACTACTTAAACTGAGAAACAAATAATATGTTTGGGAAGAGCGGTTGCGCTTTATAAAACACTGAAGAAGATGATCTCTGGGGCCAGGCTGCCAAAACCAGTCACAAATTTAACATGTTAGCAAAGGCAATGCTAAAGTGTAGTTAGGAAAGCAATACATTGATGGATAATCAACAAAAAGACACAAAATTCAATCTCAAGTCATCAGCTTCTGCTGAAATCTAAATCATCGACAAAGCAGGGGGGAGAACAATTCGAGACTTAAATGAGTTTTTTAAAATTTTCCCATAAACCAAAATTGTCTAGATTTGCGAAGTAGGTTTGAGCCAATCCAATATAACAAGTTCCCAGATATAGGAAACAAAATATAGAGGCAGTTATACAGTTTAAGCTGGAATTAGGCTTTTCTTTCTTGAAAAATCTAAACATCACTAACCAAAAGAGTGAAAAAGAAAAGAGCGAGAAAATAGACAAGCAAAATCTCACCAACAAAAGAAGACAAAGTAAGCACGTTACACTTTGCAAGGTAATAAAGAAAAAGATTGATTAGTTCAACCATACTTTTCACAGCCACATGCTATCCTCATGATAAGAGGTAACTGCAGCATCAATTTCTGGCGTTTTACAGCTGGGCACAGCTTCTACCCAAAAATGAGTACGTTATTGTTCACAACAATACAAGACGAATCAAACCGCAGCCTCCCTCAACATAGCCGCCGAGATTTAACAGAGAGATCAAAAATCAACTAGGTTCAATGTCAAAACTCAACGATGCTAACCAAAAAGAACATCTCACTCCCACGGAAGGCCCGTGATTCCAGAAATTCAAGTTGAGAAAATTGTTGAAAACATGTCATAAAAATAAACCGAAGCCAAAGTTCAAGAAAACCCACTGAAATCGCCGAACACGAAGCAATTCCAAATCCTCAGTGGACGGCATTGTGAACAAACCTGCTTGACGGCGATCGGGAACGTGATCTTAGCGGAAACTTCTGGCGGCTTGACGATCTCCTTAGTGATCTCCCTCCAACTCCGGCACACTCCAGCGCAGGCCACCACACTCTTGCGCGGCGGCCAAGAACTCTCGGAGTCCTCAATTCGGAGCAAGACCTCCCGGAGAAGCTCCTGAGGCATGTGGGCCCAGGAACTCTGCTTCAAGCCATCAGTGACAGGCTCCTCCATTGAGGAAGCGTCCTGCACTCCACGGCGGGACCTGGATCTCATGTCATGGATTAAGCTACGAATTATAGGCATGGATCGATGAGGAGGTTACAGCAAGCGAGATGTGAAGAAGAAGAAGGCGAAGGTGAGGGATCTTTGAATTTAGGTGAGGAAGCGAGAAAAACGAAGTGCGGGTGACTAGTGCGTTGATTGAGGAAGTTTCTGCAGCAAAATCATTTGTTTGGAATAAAAAAGATGGTTCCTTTTTCAGTGGGTTTGGAATACAGAATGAGAGAGAGAGAGAGAAGAGGGAGAGAGGATTCCGATAAGGAGGAAGTTAGACTTGGAGCGATGAAATCACAGATCTGTAGAAAAGACAAGCAAGCAACAAGCTCACAAATACACACACACATATATATATATATATATTTATATATCCCCATTTTCCATGCTCATGCTCTTCATAAATGGATATTATGTAATTTTCATTTTAATTATTCATTGCTCTTGTTATCCTCAATATAAGATTCTCTTAACTAATCTATACAATAAAAATTAGTTAACATAATTATTTTTAATTAATATATAAAAAATTTGTGACACATTCTTAAAAATGCATCTTTCACTTGATGATTAGAATTTAATGTGTACAGATAAAAATGTTCCTCTAAATAAAATTATTTTTTAAAAATATAATTAATATGTAGAGCATGTTTGGATCAACTTTGGGGATGGCTAAGAACCCATTTGAAATGACTTATAAATAATTTTTTAATTATAATTTATAGAATATAAAATAAGTATGTGAAAGAAGTTTTGTTTAAATTTACACGAAACATGCTTATATAAGTGATGCCAAACAAGTAGTGAGTTGAAATTGACTTTTAGGATAGAAGTAAGGGAGAATTAAAAAAAAAAACCTCAAATCAATAAATCACAAATTAGGTTTGATAACAACATTTTAATGAGTTTTGATAAAACCAGACTCATAGATAACATCACATTTTTGTTGCAACTCTTTAGTAGGATTTAGTAATTTCAATGAGATACTCTGTCCAAAAATTAACTTACACTATATTTGGTTTAGGGTTTTTGGATAGAATGGGACCTCCTTTGGTTGAGAAGCTTTTAAAAAGAAGAGGGGTAAATTTGTCTCCAAAATTTTATTAAAGACAAATTTATTCAGAAAGTATAAAATAATTTACAGGATTGGAGGGAATATTTTCTCGAACTTAAAATCTATTCCTTTAATTTTAAATATAAAACTTATTTTATAATATAAATTATACTATATACTATAAAATATGTTTTATATTTAAGACTGGTTAGAGTATTTTTTAGGCTAGGTATTTCAGTCACTTTCAATTTATTATTTTTATATTTTGTGACGATTGAATTTCAGCTTGTTCGATGTCAAATTGGTCTCTAATAATTTAATTAATTTGCATTCGTCAAATACACCGATCAGACTAATAAGTACAAGGAGATGGAATAATGCAAGCAAATCAAAGGCGATAAAATAATACTATTTTTAATTATATTTTCATTGCCACTTGATTCTATATTTTAGCTTATGGCTTACTGTTTTGATTTGAAAATGAAATATATATAGATATATTTTTATAAATAGAAACTGTCTGATATTCGATATTTTCTGGGTGCTTTCTTTTTTCGGGCCAACTATATTTTCCGAATTCTTGTGTAAATAGAATGATGTTATATCATATAAAAATAAATAAATAATTACCATATTCTCCTATGAATGTTGAATTATTGTATTAATGTACCATAATATTTAGATGTGTTCGTATATATACAAATACAAAATGTACGTAATGTTAGATATTTTCTGTAGATTATACTACCTCCGGTTCTAATTATAAAATCTCATTCACAGTCTACAAATAAGATCTTATAATTAGAAGCGGATGTAGTATTTGTGAGTATAATTTTGGAATATCCTTCACTTTTCTAATACTCCTCCGATCCTTAATATATGACCCAATTCTTGAGTTAGTTTTAGTTCTAAATATAAGACTCATTTCTCATATTTATCAGTTTTCTCTAAATTACTCCTATAGATACTCCCTCAGCCATAATTAGGTAGAAAAGGGAGAGGGGTATTAAGAAAGATGATTATGGTGTTTTAGGAAAAATGTGTCACTTTTTTTATAATTAACTAACTTAACTAACTTTCTTAATCTAATCAAATTAGTTAAATGGGTCTTATATTAAAAATTGGAGGAGTATCTTATTATGATTTTATTAAATTGTTTGTAAAGGGTAATTATCTTACACATTTAAAAACCATGCATTGCATCATCTCGTTACTTTGAAGAGATTCTTTTGAGCATTAAGAAATAAAATATTGGTTGTTTGAAAATGAATAAATACATATTATTATATCGTTTGGAAGATAGAAATTATCCAAAATAAGTTAATCAATATTTACATGTTATTATGTTGTTTGGGTTTTATGCAAAATTAGATCATAATATGTGTTAACTTAGGCCATGAATTTGATTCAAAGCGTTTCAAAAATAAATCATACTTATTTATATATTCATAAATTTTGAGGTAAAAATAATGAACCGATCAGTAAATTAGCTGAGGCATTGATTGGTTTAGTTGTAGTTGAATCAAGGTGAACTTATCATGATTAACATAATATAATTTAATTAAAATATAAGAAAATATTCATATACAACCCTACAAATATCACATATTGTTATTTTTTTAAAACTCAAAATGAGTTATTTTAAACTGAACAAGGAACAAAAAAATATAAAATTCAACATGGTCAACTTATTAAAACCGTTGACCATACTAACTTGGAAATTGATTCACTAATTCATTGGTCTTATTGGCCAGTTGATTTTTAATACTGTGATAAAAATTCTTATTAATTATATTCTTCCATGAATTCTTATTATATTTTTCCCAGTATAAAAAATAACTATATATTCAAATAATTACACCTCACATCTTCTTATAATCTTATCCACAAAATAAAAAGAAAAGAAAAGATATTAAGGAAAAAAAATTGGCTTCTGCAGCCATAAACCATCCAGTCAATGGCTTCATGAATGTATTTGTGCAGTGTTGCATTCCTGTGATTTACATACTTGACAGCTAAATAGTGCGCTTCATTTCATTTCATTTCATTCATAGTCAAATAAGTATAATTATATTTCATTAGTGTGGATTGACTTTTTTTTTCAGAGTCAAAAACACATAGAATAAATATAAGAATACACTTCTAATTATTATTCAGTTTTAAAAATTTCGTCAATAATTCAATATCATTGATCAACGAAGATAATATTCTCTTAGGATAAGATCTCAAGTATACATGAAACAAACAAAATATTTTATAGTCTCATACCTAACTAAATTTAGATCCCATTCTCATTTTTCCCCCCTTCGTTTCTCCTCCTTATTTCATCCATACCAATATATTATTTTATAATTTTTTTTTTTAATTTTTAGGTAGTCTATAATTACGAACTGTACCAATCAAATTTTAATAGTTTAAATTTATTTACTTTTTTTTTGGGTAAGATTATAATCATAATTTTAATCTCAATCTTTTATTTTTTCCCCCCAAATCCAGTGATAGGAATGGGATAAAAAGAAAAAAAATGATAAGAGGATTCAAATTCGTATCAAACTTACTTGAAATTTGAAGTAAATTATTGTATAAATTATTGATAGATTTTTTTCTTTTGTTATTTTTTTAAAAAACAATAATTGAAGATGTTCATAAAAATCCTTGATCCCAAAACTATGCCTGCGAATAATTGATTATTGGGATACAAAATAAAAAAAATAATTGAGAGCAGATAGTATTTGAATAAAAGGGAAAAATTCTATAAAATTGAGGGGGGAAATAATGAGGGATTTGATTTATGAGAATATAAAAGAGAGGATAGTGGGAGAATTTGAGGGGTGTTGTCTTTGTCCAAATGTGTTGGATGAAGCTCATTGATCATTCACCCTTGTCATGGAGGTTGGTGGCCTTCATCTTCCTTCATATATGTGCATTATACCTTATCATTATCTCAGCCACTTCAGTCCACTTACTGTTTCTCAATAATTTCCTATTTATTATTTCCACCAATTATAAATATATAAGCCAAATAATTAATTTTAACTAAAAACTAGTTCAACTTTCAATATGGTTCTAACTATAAGATCCTTATTCACTTTGTCTTTTATATTTATCTATTTTTTTAAAATAATCATTATAATAGTTGTACGTGTTAAAGATTCTATTAAATAGTAGTTCTGATTAAAACACGTTATTAGTAAGAGTATTTTACAAAAGACAACAACTATTTATTATAAATAATTAACTTAACAAACTTTCTTAATCTATTCAAATCACTCAATTAGTTCTTATATTAAATTAAGGACAGGAGGTTGTATAAATTAAGAATATTAATTAAATTAGTTTTTTTGAGAAAAATATATGTTGACTTATTTTAATGGTTTGCATTGAAAAGTGAACACTAATTTTTTAAGGGGCAAAGTGCAAATTTGTTAAAAAAAATTTTCACTTATAAATGCTCAAATATGTCCTAGAAATTTATAATAATAGTAATATTGCCCATAATCATTAAAAAATTAATGGTAACCATTAAAATAGTGACATTAAGCATTGACGGTGAATATTTATAATGACAGGGACAATATTACTACTCTTCTGATCCTAAATATAAGACTCTTATACTAATGTGTATAAGGGTCTCATATTTAAAACCAGAGGAGTATAATTTTAGATTTTTGGAGCATATTTACACCCTAAAGAATCTTCTGATACCCAACACTTCTAGGTAAAAACTTTCAAAACAAATTTATACATTAACTAATTTCTCAATAAAAAAAATTTCCGTAATATATCCAATTAATAGGAGGCAGTCCATAAAAAAACAATTATAAATTAAAAAAATAAATTAAGATATTATATTTAATGTCAAAATAAATCTTTCTGCTGGTTTTATTAAAAAATATATAAATATTTCTACTAACTCTTACATTTAGAAACGAAAAAAATATTATCTATAAATAGTTTTTAATTTACTGAATATCCCTCACCACCCCCATCACATACCAAAAATTATGCAATTTTTCAAAAAGGGTCAGCATATCTAGGCAACAGGCTGTTTCAGGTTCGAGTTTGAGGAGCATTACTTTCGCTTCTAATAAATATGCTTTTTGAGATTCAAACTATTATTTTCCTTCGTCAACCTCAGCCAACATTTGCTGACTTAGATTAAATCCTCACCCAATAAAATACTGCCACCTCGTGTCTCTTTTTAGGATAAATATATTAGTTGGGTTTTACGATTTTTATTATACATTCTTTAAGTGA